GTATTACATTGGATCTAATGCTATTTAGTCTAATGGTAGGAAATTTATAATCTTTTTCGTGAAAGTTAAACCATGTCAACGCCCGGCGCAAACCCGCCCTCCCCAACACCTGCGAGGATCCAGGAAGAAGCAAACCCAGCCACAGAGGCAGTTGCCGAAGGTCATCCCGCGACAACGGCGGTCCAACAACCCGAAATTCATGGTAATTTATAGGATAAATTTTCACCACATGACCACATAAATTTTAGCTAGCACCCCTTAGCAAATATTGCCTTCTGTTTGTGCTGCAGAATTGCCGCATGAACAACATACGTCGATGTCGGGCGGGACAAGTGCAAGTAGGTCTAGTAGAAATCCACGGTCACAAAATATATGGCCGACCACAGTGCAAGTTATAAGAGAGGTTGACGCTAGTGGTAGGCCCACGGCGCCCAGGACTGTCATTGGAAGATGGTCTAACTGCTGCGGGATAGCGGCACGTGAGAACTTCGGGATCCTCCATAAAGATATCGGGAAGGTCACAGAAGCCGAGAAAGAGCGAGCTTGGACGGCAATGGAGAAATGGTTCACATTTCCAGCCGAAGCAAAGGATAGGCTCAAGCGGAAGGCATTCCAAAAGATGGGCAAAGCTTGGAAGAATTGGAAGTCGAAGCTCTTCACCGAGTTTGCCAACCCGCCCGGCAATCATACGCCGTTCGATGAATACCCTCAAATAACCGAAGCGGTTTGGGAGGAATTCTGCTCTCTCAAGACCACCCAAGAGTTTAGGGAATCAAGCGAGGCACATCGCCTACTGCAACAGCGGAATGAGCACCCGCATCGGCTGGGCACCGCAGGGTACATCGGCAAGGAGGCAATATGGGCCCAAGAAGATGCAGCCGCTGCAGCAGCGAATGTCCCTGCCCCGTTTTCAGACATCCCTGAACAAAGAGCTCGCAACTGGGCGCGGGCAAGGGGTAAGGTCAACCCGGACGGCTCTGTCACATTTGAGAACAAAAGTGATGCCGTCGTCTATCAGGAACTGGTGAGTTCACTACTTAACCTAACTAATTTCCGTTCGTATAAAGTACAAGTTCGTATAAACGACTATCTTCTTTTCTAGTTGGGCTTGATTACTGAACAAGCTTCACAAAGCGAGGTTGAGTCCGCGCCGAAGAGGCGCGAAGATGACATCCTCACAAAGGCGCTCGGAACCAAAGAACATCCTGGCCGAACTCGGGGAATTGGTAGCGATGTGCCCTGGAAGCATGGACTCCCTCAGTACAGATCCCAATACAGGAAACGGAAAGTCTCCAAGGAAGAGAGGGACGCTCGTTTGAAGGCCGAACTTAAGGTTGAGGTCATTCAAGAACTAGAAGCTAGCATGAATGCAAGGGTGGAAGAAAGGGTTAACAAGGTCCTCGCCGACATGAATATACCCCGAGTCACAACACCTGCTGTGCAACCAACTCCTCGTGTACAACACGACGCGAGTCCGTCACAGCATAGGAGTAGTTGTGCATCCACAGAGGTGCCGGCCCCTGGTCTCCCGATCGCACCACTAGCTGCAGTGGACCACATCGAGGTAATTGTTGTTATCCGATCCATATCTAATAAAAGACATGTACACATTCCAATATTAAATTCAAACTTTCACCTTATGCAGGGCGCAGCACAGTGTGTCCTACTAGCGAGAGTCCACCCAACTTTCGCTCCTGAAGTTGCTGAGGGCATGGCTTTCAAGCCCTCGGTTACAGACAAGGTCCACGGCGCAGACCTGCTAGCTGGGTATGCCAAGGTGTCCATCGATACAGTAAAGGACACCTGGTCAGGCTATCCGCTGCCCGTGCCCCCAAATGATGAAATCATGACTTTGGGCGATGCGCGCAAGACGTTCATACAATGGCCCAAAGAAGACATAGTTGTGAAGATGACTCCTCGTCCAAGTCGACCGACGGAGCTTACACCTCCCAAGTCTAAGCTATCAATTGAGGCTCCCCGTGGACCGGCATTGTCAGTACCTCATTCTCCCGGTGGAGCTGATATGGACTTGGCAGATATAGCTCAAAGCTTGGCTCCAATAAAGACCACAAGAAAGGCCGATAGCTCCCCACCACTTGTCAAGGGCCAGAAGCGTGAACGCGGCAAGGGGAAGGTCGGGGAGTTGGCGCCGGAGCCAAAAAGGGGCAAGGCTGCGACGTCGATGCCGGTGAGCAAATCGGGGAAAGTCGTGAGGGCGCCAGCCCAATTTGAGCTAGGCATGCCATTGGTGGAGGACAATGTGTTAGCTGTGATGGGTATTGCTTGCCGAGAGCTACATAAGCAATACATGTAGCTAAGCAATGCCAAGCGGAAAATGAGGGAGTCATCCATAGTTGGACATCACGACCACCAGCCGTTCCTATCGTCGCCTGCCTATATAACTATAGGCTTTGATGACCTCTTCGACCTTTTCAGGATCCGGAAGTTGGACACTGGTCTTCTTAAATGCTACTCCTTGTAAGTGCATACCTTCTATACTTGTGATATGACTGGACTATATCTCCTAATTAAATTAGTTCTAATACGTACATATTTTAAGGTTGTGTTGGATCGAGAGTCGTCGCCATGGTAATCAGGTTGGGTTCCTTGATCCATCCATGGTGAATGAGGTTAATTTACGACAGAGCTTCACTGAGGTGGTTGACTATGTCAACCGGTGTTTATGGGCCCATCAAGACAAGGAGTACATCATGTGCGCACACAACCAAGAGTAAGAGGACAATACCCTTCGTGTATATTGTTTTTGAAGTTAAGGTTCTTAGTACTAACGCTACATAACCACTGCGCAGGCGACATTGGATTCTCCTAGTCATCGTACCTAAGTGGAGTCGGGTTACCTACCTTAACTCCAATAAGTCCAAAGATTATGATTTCAGTGAAATCACCAAGGCCTTAAATATGGCTTGGAGCCCATATGTGGAAAAGGGTGGTAGGCACAAGGAGGGCAAGAATGAACTTTATCATGACACCAAGTTTGCATGCGCACAACAGATCGGAGACCAATGTGGTGCCACAACATGTCAACACTTCTAAGAGAGGTGAAAGATTTCGACCCTGAGGTTGTTGCTAATGGCGAATAAGCTCATTTCAATATCTACATTGCTATTCAAAACGTGCTAATTAACCTCTTATTTATTAAACAGAAAGGTAGAGCTGGCTTCAAGATCTCACCCATCAACCCCCCCGCTATCAGAGGCGAATTGTGCGCCTTTATTCTTGCAGAAATAATGAACAAGAAAGGACGTTTTCATGCCAAATAGACTCATGAACTTGGCTAGATAATTTATTGTGATGTAAAAAAGATGTTTTTATAATTTCTGGCGATGTAAAAAATTATGTTTTTATAGAGTGCAATGTAATTTACTTTCATATGTGCAATATTTATGGTACTTTACTAAATTGTCATCACATTTGATCAACTACGATTTATGTTGTACTATTCATCTGTTTTCTCCTTTTTTTTTTCCTTATTGACAGGTTGTGCAGGTCGATGACATTATGGCTTTAATCCATTTGGTAAGTATATATGCGGTTCTATGAGCAACGACCGAAATTGTGGCTTTCAAGGGGTGTGAATTTGCTGTGCAAAATTGTGGCATTTGAACTGCATATATGTGTTGTTGGGGATATGTGATGTTATATTGGGGGGGGTGATGTATCTGTGATGGATCTGTGACTGGAATATATCTGTGATGTTTCTATTTTTCAGAGGGCATGGCTAGCAAATCCTGAGGCTAGCCAATATTTAGCATTTATTTTTTTTCTGGAATTAACTCATCAGTGACGGGTCGGAACAAAAATCCGTCAAAGGTAACATAACCTGTGACGGACTAGCAAATAAAGGCCCGTCAGAGGTGACCTACCTGTGACGGGCCTTTACTTTTGGGGCCGTCACAGGTAGATCACCTGTGACAGCTTCTAACTACGGAGACCTCAACCTCTGACGGCCTTTATTTAAAGGGCCGTCAGAGATGAGTCACCTGTGACGGGTCCTAACTCGCTCAAGGCTAGCGGAGACCAACACCTCTGACGGCCTTCTAGTAACTTGCCCGTCAGAGGTGGGTGTCACCTGTGACGGCCGGCCACCCGTCAAAGGTGACTGGACTCACCAGTGACCACTGATCACTGACCATGCGCGAAGCCGTCAAAGATGAGGGTTTGGGCCCGTCACAGGTGACCTTGGCCAGTGTAGTGTTATCTTCTTAAAATATGTTTATAGCTGGCTTATAGTCTACTATTATACCTGCTCTTATACCGCAGCGTCGCTTCGACATCCCGCCTTCGGCTTGCCGCGCGCGCGATGGCAATCCCTTGTTCACTGGCGTGGGCCCTTGAAACTGCATGCATGGGATGCTAATGAAGCGAACAAAGGGCCGTTGACGTGGAGAATTTAATGCAGCCGCAGAAGTGAAGGGTTGCAGATTACTCTTTCGAGGCGCATGCAGAAGACGTGCAACTCTTTTGGAAAAATTGAAAAACGTAATACGAGCAACTCAAGTGGATGGAGGGAGTATTAGAGAGGAGATCCTAATTTGGAGGGAGACCGACATCTTTAGAGAAGTCGATTGAGGAGGAGTCCACCGTCAAGCGCGCGGTTTCTTCTTTTCTTTAGTTTTCTCCCCCCCCCCCCCCCACCCCGTTTTCTCTCTCGGTAGTTTAATTAATCAATGTCGATCTTGCAAAAGTTATACACCCTCTTTCACCTTAATAAAGTTAGGATGGCCGTTCCTTAGATTGGTCGGCCCGGCTTAGGTAGTGTTTAGATTCAGGGATTAAACTTTAGTCCCCGTTACATCGGATGTTTAGACACTAATTTGAAGTATTAAACATAGACTAATTACAAAACTAATTGCATAAATAAGAGCTAATTCACGAGATAATTTTTTAAAACCTAATTAATCCATAATTAGCACATGTTTACTGTAACATCACGTAGTCAAATCATGGATTAATTAAACTCAATAGATTCGTCTCGCGAATTAGTCCAGGGTTACGTCTAATAGTTATAATTAGTGTCCAAATATCCGATGTGATATGTTCTAACCCTGATCCAAACAAAATCTTAGTGCAGTTCAGTTCTAGGGTTAACGGCTCATGGCGATCGATGTATAAGATCGACTGCTTTGCATTCACATGAATTGAATTTCATTTCCCCAGTTAATCTAGCCTGACTCCACGCGTATCGCGTGCGTCTCTCTCGTCGGGGCTTCGATTGACAGCGGCGACGACGATCAAGTAGAAGACGCCGCCGCCGCCGCTCGCCGGCTGCACTGCATCCACCGTCCGGCCGGCCGGCAACTGATCGAGGAAGAAGACGCATGGGCGTGGCACATCGATAGTATTTTTGCATAAAGGTCCCTGTATAATACCGCTAAAATTAGTAATGGTCCGGGATATTTGCAGAAACACCCCTTGCATATCACTGCTATCATTGGCATCGGTCAGGTGTTTGTAAAAATGACCGTGCCGAGCGTCGATCGTCGTCCCGCCGCCGCGGCCGCCTCGTTTCTGGCGGGAGCAACCACCACGCGCGCGGCATATGCTATGTTTGAACTTTGAAGTTTTGAAGTTGTGCCTGCGCCGCGCGAAACGCGGCGCGCGATGCCAGCCACCATTTGCAGCGCGGAGCGAGCGAGGATGGAGATGGAGCTCGACGTCCAATTTTAGCCGCCATGGCGGCCGGGATTAGAAGGCGGGAAAGATCACGAGAGGAGGGGACAAAGGAGAGGTCAGCCCCCTTCCTCGGTCTCTCCGCCGCCGCCTACCATGGGGTCGTCGTCCCTCCCCCGCGCGGCCGTCCTCGCCGTGGCGCTCCTCCTCCTCCTCGCCGACTCCGGCGAGGCGTTCTTCGACCTCTTCAGCATCTTCCGCCCGCGCTCCGACAGCGATTACTTCCCGTTCGATGGGTCGCCGGGGCAGGCGAAGCGGAAGCCGAAGATCGAGCAGGAGGAGGATGGCGCCGCGCCGGCCACAGCCACGGGCCTCACCAAGGTGCCGCCGCTGGGCGCGCCCAGCAAGGCGGCGCTCGACACCATCGTCCTCCCCGTCGACGACTCCGCGGGGCACGCCGGGTCGTGGACCATCGTCAGCGAGAACTCCGGCGTGTCGGCGATGCACCTCGCCGTCATGCGCCACGGCAAGGCCATCATGTTCGACACCAGCACCACCGGCCGGTCGCTGATGCGCCTCCCCATGAATAACTGCCGCGCCGACCCGCGCGCCAAGAGGGAAGGCACCATGGACTGCTGGGCGCACGCCGTGGAGTTCGACTACAGCACCGGCGCGCTCCGGTCGCTCAAGACCGCCACCGACACGTGGTGTTCGTCCGGCGCGTTCGACGCCGACGGCAACCTGATCCAGACCGGTGGCTACTTCGAGGGCGACAAGGCGGTGAGGCGGCTCGACGCGTGCGACACCTGCGACTGGCGCGAGTACCCGAACAGCTTCGCCGAGGGGAGGTGGTACGCGACGCAGCAGGTGCTCCCCGACGGGCGGTTCATCGTGTTCGGCGGCCGGCGAGCCTTCAGCTACGAGTTCGTGCCGCAGCCGGGGATGACCAACGGCCAGTCCATCAAGTTCCCGCTCCTCCGCGAGACCACCGACGACGTCGAGAACAACCTCTACCCGTTCGTCAACCTCCTCCCCGACGGCAACCTCTTCGTCTTCGCCAACGACCGCTCCGTCGTCTTCGACCACAGGACGGGCAAGGTCGTCCGCGAGCTCCCCAAGCTCGCCGGCGGCGGGCGGAACCACCCGGCGTCGGCCATGTCGGCGATGCTCCCGCTCGACCTCCGCAACCTGACCCGCGGCGCCGACCCGGAGCCGGAGGTGATCGTCTGCGGCGGCGCGCTCAAGACGGCGTTCAGGCTGGGGGAGAACAACACGTACCAGCCGACGCTCCGCGACTGCGCCCGCATCAACCTAGGCAAGATCGACGCGGTGTGGGCGGTGGAGGCGATGCCGGTGGGCCGCGTCATGGGCGACCTGCTCGTCCTCCCCACCGGCGACCTGCTCATGCTCAACGGCGCCGCCAAGGGGAGCTCCGGGTGGGGGTTCGCGCGGCAGCCCATCCTGTCGCCGATCCTCTACTCGCCGCGGCACCCGGAGGGGTCGCGGTTCCGGCCGCTGGCGGCGTCGACGGTGGCGCGGATGTACCACTCCACCAGCGCCGTGCTCCCGGACGCCACGGTGCTGGTCGCCGGCGGGAACACGAACGCGGCGTACAACTTCAGCGGCGTGGACTTCCCGACGGAGGTGCGGGTGGAGCGGTTCGCGCCGCCGTACCTGAGCAGGGAGCTGACCGGGAACCGGGCGGTGATCGACGTGGCGTCGGTGCCGGCGGGCGGGATGCGGTACGGGACCAAGTTCACGTTCAGGTTCCACACGCCGGTGGCGGCGGTGGAGTGGGGCGACGTGAGGGTGACCATGTACGCGCCGCCCTTCACGACGCACGGCTACTCCATGAACCAGCGCTTGCTCGTGCTGCCCGTCGCCGGCTTCTCGGCGCAGGGGCAGATGTACGAGCTCACCGTCGACACGCCGCGGAAGCCGGAGCTCGCGCCGCCGGGGTACTACCTCGTCTACGTCGTATCCAAGGACGTGCCCAGCGAGGCCGCTTGGGTCAAAATACAGTAAATGTTGGTGTAACTAATCCATGTACACTCTTCCTCTCTCTTTTTTTCCTGTGTCTGTTACCCCTTTTACTTAGGTAGGGAAGGTATATACGGATATCAGATCGACCAAACTGGTGCTTTCTTGTGCTCTATCGTATGCTTGCGCTAGAAATATGACCATGCACAAAGTGATTTTAGGTGTAGCTGGTCTCCACAAATTGATCTTCACAAAATCATTTTAGATATCCATTTTATAAATAAAAAACCTGTGCCAGCAATGATGTAAAATTACACAATGGGAACAAGGTAAACATGACCCCACGGCCTGTTTGGCAAAAAAGGGCATCGCCATTTTCTATTTCTTCCCGAACAAAAAAAATATGCAATTATGAATTCTACAATTACATGCGGTGTTCAAACTCAAATGCTTGATCTGTTAGATACTCCACGCATGCTAAATGAACAAAGCAAGCACATCCTGACTGACAGCAGGTGGTACTATAACAAAGCCTCAACGTCAATCTCAACGAAAGTGCAGGGGTCTGGAATGCCGAATTTCCTTAGGACCTGCAATAGATCAAAATTTGTACTTAATTCACGACCAAAATCACAGAATTATCTAGTACCTGATAAATATTTACAATTGCACGTACAGGTGAAGTTATCTATTCATTTCACCAAAGGGGATAGAGTGCGGATTTGATCAGAACTGGATAGTTGCTTGTATTTTACAGAGACAAATTTGGCATACTAGCATTCAGAAATTCAACCGTATTTATTTAACTACTTTAAAAGCACAGTCGTCCTTCCTCTCCCTAAAAAAAAAGCTCCCTCCCTTCCCAAATAAACCACTCTAAAAAAAGTCCAAGAAACACAACCCGTCGTGTAAAACCGAGCCCCAGAAACACAACCTATCGTGAAAAAACGGCATAAGAGAGAACTGAATCACCTGTATATCTCCCTACCTGTTGCACCGCATGGTCATATAACTAGTATTTTAAAAAAAATGCTATAACTACTAGGGCAGAGATGCTATTGAATAAGACAAGATTTACCTCGGCATGCACAATTCCTAAGTAGCCAATCTGCTTTCCATCACTCATAACAATTTTGCATTGTCTTTTCGGAAAGAATTCAGGTTCCTACAAACAAAACATTAGCACAAATGTTCAAGACAGCAAAAGACAGATGATTTACTTGAATGCATACAGAACTTTAAATGCTTACATTTGTAGGAACATAGTAATTCTGGCCAAATTTGATGTGGGGAGCTCTCACAACATTCACGATTCTATCTACCAAACCCATAATTTCCTGGATAGTTCATCATGATTAGACAAGGGCTGGATAGAAGTTCTTTAAACATCATACTCGGACAAATTGTCATGTCTTACCTCAAACCCAGACTGCTTATTACAGTACAAAGCTGCGAGTCGACGATTATTAGAAGCACCAACATCACGTGACCCATCCAATGTCACTACATCACCAACTTCAAATATCTGCATACACAGCCATGCAAAAAGATCACAACCACTGAAACATTTCCCTTTGGCTAAGGAGAATTCTAGTTTCTAACAGAAGCTTTGTCGTTCAGAAATCATATGAAGAAAATGCTACAATTCATGTAATGATTAAGCGTGAGAAAAAGCACCTCAATGACAGTGAGCTAATAATAAGCATATGCGTATTCATTCTTATTTTCACAAAGTACCTTTATGGGTCTTGGATGGTCTATGTTATGCTTCAAAGTTTTCAATAAACATGACATCAGACTGGTTCGAACCACCTGCAAAACCACAATGAAAACAATAATTATTACATGTACTGCTTGCTTAACACAGTTATGTTCTTAAATCTCATCGTGGCAGATATAGCATACATAAGAAACAAATATATTGTAGAACAGTGCAGATTTCTTTCCTTTTCTCTATAGAGAAGGGCAATAAAGTACAAAAGGCCACACTTAAGTGCAGAAAATGCACACAAAAAAATGAAAACGTGAAGAGATAAGTTGTACCCCCTCCATATTTTTTTTGTTTGACGTTGGTTAGCTCAAAATTGAACTAACCAACGTCATACATTTGTGCAAGGAGGTAGTAACATCTGAAATTTGTTTATGTTAACCACAAAAGAATATTTGAAATGTCATGTAGATTCATCTGTTAACAGCTTGGCCAGGGTATCAATTCACAACTTGGCTTGTATGAAAAAGTAAAAATTTCTAATGTAGGAACAAAGGAACTGGCGAGGATATTTACCAATGGAACATTTAGACCATGATAAATTTACATTTACACTCCTCTTAGAAAAAATATGAAACCAAGAACATAATAAATTGCAAGTTGAATTCAATATCCAACAAATCATAGCGGAAGAGCATTGAACATCTAGAAGACTAGAACAAATTCTTGTTACCTCAAATTCAGAAGTGCGTGGATTCGCAATAATAACTGCTTTATTTACATCCTGTGTCCTATTTAACATGTCAAAGTTTTCTTCACGTGAACACAAGGTAAATGTGAGCACCTCCATATAACCAGCTCTTGCAACCTGGCCCCACATATTTCATTTATCAAAGAAATATCAGTTGGTGAAAAGATATATGCCAAACCAGAGGTACATCACAAGAGACTCAAGTACCTCAGCACGAAGTTTATCAGAGAAACGGTTTAATGGTTGCCTTCCTCCTATTGTCATACACTTTGGCTTTGATTTTGGCACATTGTTGTAACCATAAGCTATAGCAACATCCTTCACAGCAAAAGTGAAAACTGAGTACAAAATTATCCAAACAATGATTAGCAACTATGGAAAAGGCTATGGTAGAGAATTATGTATTACCTCCACCAAATCACGAGCATGCAGAATGTCACTTCTTGTTGGAGGGACAGAAACTGAAATACGTGGTTCCCCTTTTGATGGACAACTTTCAGCTTGCAACTGCATTTTGTTCAGAAGGGAAATAACCTGCATTTTTGCACACACAACTGTGTCATTTCACTTGCACAAGCATGCAAATCTAATTTCAGAGTATCCAAGCAAAAGCGGTAACCAAAGTGAATACCATTTAACTTAGCTCAAACTACAGACAGAACGATTAAAAAATGTGGCAGTTAGTACATTGTCAATTCAAATACGATAAGGTAAATGTCAATTTCTCAGTTATTATTCAATAACTACCATAGAGATGAGGTCTGGAAAATACCTTTGTCTCATCTAGGGAGATGCCAATGGGTCCAACAACCTCAGATAGTGAGACCTCCATTTTATAGCATGAAAGGTCAGGGTAAATGGTTTTGCTTCCATCATGTGACACAACTTCAACTGGTTCCACTTCAAACTTGTTTTCGCAGTACTCAGAGAACATTGTGACCTATACAGATAAAAACCAGACCATAAATGCAACAGTTTGATCTTCATCCAGAAGGAGATAATTTCTACCTAGGGGAGAGAGTTACATTGCACCTACCATTGTATTGAGAACAATCTTTGCTTTTGTAAGGTCAGTAGCGGTACACTCAATAAACACATTCCTTGTCTTCAGAGTGATAGCAGAATGTGCACCATTGATGATTGGTGGTAAAGACAATACGGTCCTGAAAATTATTGAAGTTTACACAGAAATGATCGCATTGCTGACTGAAAATAGGCCATTTCATTAACAAATAAATATTTTTAATACTGATATCCTGGTGGAAGCATCACCATTAGATATTGGCAATGGGTCCTTTCTAGTTGATTTTTGTTGTAACATTGAGAATTTGAGAAATGTAACAAAAAGAGCTAATGGTTACACACTGATCACTAGGTCCTCTCTAACTGATTAAGATCATAAAGGATTTAAGGAAAAAAAAACAAGGTGTGCAAATAATCAGAGCATGCAATAAGTTCACCTGTTGCTATCATAAATAACTGGGTATACTGGCGAATTCTCAATTATATGCAGGAACTTCTTCAACTTCATGTCTGACTGCACAAAGAAAGCATAGAACATTAGCAACCAAATAAATATGTACATAGAACACTTATCATAGAATCAAAATTCAGTGCCTGTAATTAATTATAAACTTCAAAACTTGTCTGGCACTAGTTATTGCTACATGGGCACTAAAAAACGATATGGCTGCTTACTTTATAGAATTCCATCAGTTTATCAGCCCTGAAGCTTTCCTCCTGAAACATACAATAAAGAGAACACAAATAAAACATTAGTATAAATCCTCAGCAAATAAAACAAGACTGTTATATTGCTCTGTAAATAATCTGCAAGATCGGCACAGTATATGGCTTGGTTAAATTTGGTAAATTATTTTACCTGCTTTAATGGGACAAAGTTGATCTCTTGTGGTGGTAGAGCCTGGGCAACATGGTCAACATGTTAGTTAACAAGAATGAGATAACTCACTCTGGGCATTCACATTGTCAGAAAATCAGGTAACAGAACATAGATCAAATAGATTTTTGTGGTAAAAAAAAAAAGGAAACTGCATGGGAGCTTTCTTGGGGGCTATAAATGGAAGCCTCAATAAGTGAAGAAAAGTAAAGTCACCATCCAACCAAACAAGCCTTAATACATCATTGCATTTACCTCATATGAAAAGGGTCCTTTCAGAGTGTCAAGATCGTGGGTACCTATGGCCACCAGAGTTCTCTTCCTTTTTTCCATCATAAAAGTGCTCAGAGTTAATATCTTGGTGATAGTGAAGTCAATACAGCAAAATTAACAGTGGGCAGTTAGACAGGCTATACCTGCAAATATTTTGATGGAGTTTGTCTTGAAGATCGATGAAGCTGTTATATCTTGCTTCATCGAAAGTTACCCCTCTAAGGACAGCACAGACCACATAGGGCCTTATTTGTGAAGTCTGCCAAATAAAGCAAATTCTAACTTTGACAACTGTTCACATCTTTTGAAGAATATTATTTGAAAGTTGAAATATGTCACAACATAAACAAAATGGATAGCCATAATCACTGACTTGAAGCACAAAAAAGAGGTATATAAGGTAAAACATGAAAAACTGGGAATAGCCTATCAATTTGTTACCTGAGGTTTAACATGCATCAGAAGCATTGAATCGCGAGGGATGCAAGAAATTTTGTACATAGGGGTCGCTTCAGTCCCAGTGAAAATGCGGAGGGCCCTTGCCAATCCTTCAAGACATAACAAATCATACCTGCATGCATTTGCAATGAACATTAACATGTAATGTTTAGAGATGTCAAAGTGTCCTTCCCAGAAGCTAAACAAGACCCTTCAAGTGCATATACAGAAAACCAATGAGGCAATGGTTATTGAATAAAACAAATTCCCATCCATACACCAAATTGAAATGTCAAGCAAAGGCATAAAGTCATATCAGCTTATGCGGATCCTAAGAAAGTAAACTCTGTTATTATACTACATGCCTCAGCCACAAAAATTACAGAAAATAGTAGCATGGAGCAGAATAAAAAATGGTTCATTGTTTTATCCAAAACATAAAAAATATTACAAACTATAACTCTTAATTGACTGAAGAAATGAACTAGATAAAAAGAGAACAAGCAGCCTACCAACAACAAGAGTTTACCAAATGCAGAAGATTTGCATCCATGAAGCAAAAAGCATATCAACAGAATCAATCTAAGTAGAGAAACTCCTACCAGCAACCAGAGTTTATAAAATGCAGAAGATTGAATCCATGAAGCAAAAAGCATATCAACTGAATCAATCAAAGTAGAGAACACCTAGGCAGGGCAGTTATTAGCTAGATGCTGAACAGAATCAGGAACCAGAAATTCAGCATTATCTGTTATGAGGCTGATCTCCACACAGTCCCACATTATTACAGAATTCTGACTTCTGGTGTAATTGCCACAAATTCTGGATTGAAATAACAACAAATTCCCTATCATTGAAACAACTGTCGAGCATCAACCAGCAGATACAAGCATTATAACAACCAAGGGAACAACAATTCACAGTAACCAACCTATAACTCTATCAAAAACTCAAAAGTAGGAGTCAATCATCATGTCACACCCACGCCACAAAACGTGAAGAACTCACTGCAGATCTTCAGTAGGGACTATACCAGTTCAATTCGAAGCCTAATTAATCATCAACAGGGAAAAAAACAAGGTTCGTTTCAGATAATTAGAGCTGCACTGCTGTGGCATGGGCTTATCTCTACACCAAGATTCCCTCACCTATTGGCGGCGACCTCGATCTTGTAGATGACCTCGTCGTCATCACCATCCACCTCGCCGTCATCATCCTCCAGGTGCTTCTCCTTCCGGATGATGGCCTTCTCCGTGGTCTACACGAGCACACAACAACCCAAATCAGACACAACTCGAAACCAAAGCACGAAAAGCACGAAGGCCGAAGTCTCAGCCAGATCCGAGCGCTAGCGCACCACGTCATCGAGCTCGATGCCGAACTCGAAGCAGAGCACCTCGAACTCCTCCTGCGCTGCAGCAACCAGCAAAAGAACACCGAGGTCAGATAGGGTTTCTCGCGTGATGGGGGTTTAGTGGGGTGGGGGGGCGGCGCAAGAGCAGAGGGTCGCTTACTGTATGTCCTTCCGAGGGCGACGAAGAAGCGGTCCCGGCCGACGCTCACCGTCGGCATCGCTGAAGTCGGCGGCCTCCCCTCTCGGCGGCGGTGGCGGCGGCGAAGACCTTAGCGGCGATGGAGAGGACGATGTCTGACTGAGGTGAGAGAGGGTTAGTGGATTTCGAGGCCGCTATGCAGGTTATTCTGAATGGGCCGAAATTCCAGCCCATGTACGTCGATGGGCTTATATTTATGGCCCATGAAAGCTCGCTACTAAGGAGGCGGCGGGGGTTCAGCGAGTCGAGCCGTCGAGGCAGACGAGCAGGGATGAAAACGGAGCGGATACGGATGGAACTAACTTTATCATATTCGTTTTCATATTTTTTTTTCGGAATTGGAATCGGAATCGAAAACTCGGATACGAAAATGAAATCGAATATTATCGAATACAGAAACGGAGCGAATACGAGACGGAACGAATACGGTAGCGGATATTTACCGGTATATAAAAAACCCCTCAAATTGAGTGTCTTGATTAAGGAAGAGATATCGCTTATTATTTTAGTTCAACATCTCCAACATTTATATCGTCAATTTTGTAGACGGTCCCACAACCCTATGTGAAAATCGATTTTCATGGCTATTCCTCTTAGAGATCCATATACAAATATGATTATCATTTTCTATTCCCAATACCTTTTACTAGATGTATAACTTACTTACCATTGTATAAATTGAAGATGTTATTTATTTTACTTCACATCTTCGAAACTTGTAATGTTTGTTTTATACTTTAAATGCTTTCAAATACAAATGTTATAAACTACAAAGTGGTAGATCCCGTTGAGCTCTACAACTTTGATATGGAACACATCTCCATCAGATGTCGTTTGAATTGTAGATATGAGATTTTGTAAAAATTAAATGGTATATTATAATGAATATTTAGACTCCCTAAATGACCTCAAATAATAAAATAGTCAATAAGAAAGTTGTAGATCTCATCGAGCTCTACAATGTTGATATAAAGTTTGTCTCCATCTGATTCAGTATGAAAAGGTTATGTATATATACATGTTTTTTCTAAACTTTGCTTAATGTCTGCGGATATCCGAAAAAAAATCCGGATAGTTTCCGACCGTTTTCCGATTCCGACGGATAGTACCCTTACTGTTTTCGTTTTCGTTTCCGAGAAAAAAAATCCGAATTCGTTTCCAAATCCGAGAATCTCCGGATAATTCCGACCGAAACTATCCGAATCCGAAAAATGGTCCGGACGGACGGAAACTATCCAAACCACTTTCACCCCTACAGACGAGTGGAGGAGTTTTGTCGGCTACAATTTTTTTCAAAATCAGAAGCTCCGCAAACAGTTTAGTTTTTCGTTCAAATTCTAAAATGTTGTAGTCGTAAAATCAAAAAAATAAAGTTGAGAAACTCAGTTTCTCCAAATTCTTAGAAACCGACTACTAGCCAGCTGTTTCTTATAATTCTTTAATTCTTTAACATGCCCGACAAATATAGAGTTGCGGAGGCACGACTTCGACGATCTGGCTAGCAACCGCACACGACCCACACTTCCAATATGATATCATCCGTGCCAAGGAATACAGTGATATTGATGTTGGAACATACATATAATGCTAAGCGGTTGGTTTATACTCTTACTCCCTCCGTCCAAAAAATAATCAAATCATGGCTATGAACATTAAATGTTTAGGTTCAGGTTCATAGCTAGGATTTGATTCTTTTTTGACAGAGATAGTATATTCTAGTAAATGTCATTGAATAGTATTATTACGCTGTTAATATAATTTTTTTTTTGAAAAGAAACATTTCAATGATACCTCAATAGGTACTCCTTCATATTCTTTAGCTATGTGATTCCTCATGCTTTACTCCAGGAATTTATAAGTAATTTTTAATATATTTTTTCAATAATCAAGATAGGAGTAAAAAGAAATGAAATGAAACATCGGAGTTTATCGGTATTTATCTAAACAAACAAATGATACTCGTACTTTAATATCGAACATGTTGATAAGTATATATTAAATATTATAAAAATGATAGATATATTAGTTAAAATATTGTGGAAATGATGTGAGAGGTGATGATTGGATATGCTTGCATGTTGATTTTTATAATTAAATAGATTATAGATGATGTTGCATGCTTGCATGATGTTATTGCTAGTGGGTGATGATGTGGCATGATTGCATGTTAAGCTTTAGAGTTAGCGGGTTGTAACTTTATAAAAAGTATAGATGTATGTACTTTGTATTATTAGGCCTAGTTTAGTTCCTAATTTTTTTTTTCCAAAAACGTCACATTGAATCTTTGCACACATGTATAGAACATTAAATATAGATAAAAACAAAAACTAATTGCACAGTTTGCATGAAAAATCACGAGATAAATCTTTTAAGCATAATTAGTCTATAATTAACCATAAGTGCTACAGTAACCAATATGTGCTAATAACGGATTAATTAGGCTCAAAAGATTCATCTCGCGGTTTCCAAGCAAGTTATGAAATTAGTTTTTTCATTCATGTCCAAAAAAACCCTTCCGACATCCGGTCAAGCATCCGATGTGATAAAAAAAATTCTTTTGGGGAACTAAACATGGTCTTACTTTGCGTTGCTAATCGCAAAGTATATTCACAAAAACTACTTAAAACGTAAGCACATGAACTAATCTTTCATGACAAATATACAAATGTAATTCAAGACATGCCGCATTTTATTCCACCACAACATCAATTGGCAAAAAATCCACATGATTCCATATGGCTACAGCGGAATTCAGGTTATTTAAAGCTCCGACTTGTTTGATCCTCCTAAAAAGATGCATAATAATAAGTTAAAGACATACAACAAATTTATCCTCAACATCAAGCATAAAACATGACGTGTCTAAACTTACAAGATAAATATCATATGAGCACCAATACATAATAATAATAGTATAAGGAATGGAGGATATAAACACAAAGGGCGCAACAGGTATTAGTCCAGCACTCATTGAAACCGTCATACAGATCGGTGAATTAGTTTTGGGCTGAGGCTGCTTGGTTCCCGACAGGAAATGCCGGCAAAGTTGCACTATTTTCTTGGCCCGGAGCATCTGCACTTGCGTGCCGCATAAATTCCTCCGGCGTCATGTGGGTGCCATGGCAGGCACAGACTATCTTCACCTCGTTTCTGCCAAACTTATATGTTACACCTGATATGGTTCTGCCATTTGGCCCAGTACCAGTGGTAGAAACCCAGGGAAGGTCAGGATACGATCCAGATCCTCCGAATTTGACATTTGGTGCAATGCCTGGCCTTATAGCAGAACCCATGAGAGGTAATGCCCTATCAGACTTCTTGTCATCCTCCACAAGAGCAGAAGAGGAAGCACCAGCCTCTGAAGTTGGGGGAAAAAATGAATCAGTATGCAAATTGTAAATACTGAAAATTTCAAATTCAAACATATGATTGTTTAGGCATAAAAACAGCAGCGCATAAGAAGTAATCTCCACTTATTTTACGTTACCAGATCATAAAATACCATAGACAAAGGCAGTTCTTGTATGCATACAAGCAGCAATGCAGCTTCCAACTACTCATAAATATTCTGAAACTAAATGAGATCAGTGGCATGTCTCAAAGTATACTTCTATCATACCAAACCCAACGACATTTGCGACATAACCATAGAGTTTTTTTGCTAAAAATGTAGTGATCAAACCCAGACCAAGTATCTTAATTCTTGTTGACTTCAAATATATTTGTTATTTAGAGATGAACCACAACAGGTAACAGTACATTTTTTGTTCTTTGTTCTGAGAGTGTGGGCGTTGTTCACAGGTAAACTAACCTTGAGTTTTCTTGCCATCGTCAGCTTGACTGATTCCTGCTCGTTCAACTTTGTCTTTTGCAGTAAAAGAGGACATAGCCTGAGGTGGAGCACCAAAAGCCCATGAAGAGCTTGTTTCAAGTGTTGGTAGCTGGACAGCTGGATAACCAAAAGCTACCTGAGAGGTACTGCCCATTGTAACAGCTAGTCCATTGTTTGTAGGTGGCCTCAACTGCACTGTACATACTGGAGTGAAATTTGATGCATTGGTAATACTGGGAGGAGCTGAAACCTGAGACGGGACTTGATATGGCACAGCAACAACATTTGATGCTTGCAATGACAAAGGATTTCCTTGTGGCAATTTTCCAGAGCTGGATTCACTTCCTGAGAAACTTGGCTGCCTCTTTCCTTGAAAACCAACTGCAGCATCATCACTGGATCGTTTTCTGTCAGATCCTCTATTGACAACAGATCCCTTAGCACTGTCTTCACGCTGTGCAACCAACCAAGAGTTTGAGCCTTCTGCTTCTGATTCTGCAACATCCTCGTTTTCACCTGTTGAACCATCATCCGTGCTAATTGAAATAGGAGCGTTTTTTACACCACCGTCAGAGCTCTTACTAAATGCATCAGGTTGCTCAGCAGCTGTATTAGGTTTCTTCTGAAAACTTATCTCCTCAGAAAGTAATTTCCGTTTACTAGAGACTGGCTTCTGTTCATTGGATCCATCTGCCACAGGAACAGAAGAACTCCCTGGCTGTCCCCAAAAGTTCCCAAACGGTGGTGCAGCAGGGCTGTGTCTCTGCTTGCTACTGTGTTCTTGGTTCTCTGCATTTGTTTGATAGTAATGCACAAAAGGAGCCTCAGGAGTTTGTGAAACACCTTTGCTACTGCTCTCTTCCACTTGAGGCTCTGCTTTAGGTTCTAGAGGAGCATCTCTAGCCTTAGACTTTCCTGATGTCCCACCCAAAGAGAGACCCAAGCTAAGCTCAAGGCCATTCTCATCGTCCATGTCTAGATTTCACTAGTCGTATTAATAAGTATGTATGGTTACAGACTGTTTCTTCTACACATTGAGAAGAAAATAGATTGTACTATATTGATTCTTTCCACTCAACAAGTCATATCTGCAAGAAAAAAAAAGCCTTTGGTAAGAGACTAAGCATGGCAAACATGTTTCATGTGTATCCGCTGAATCTCCAAAACTTTTGGAAACAAACTGTTATTACCGCCTGACCACCCACCAAAGAAATCTCCAAAAAGTTGGATGGGTTAATTTTTTTTAAAGAAATCTCCAAAAAGTTGGATGGGTTAATTTTTTTTAGATAATGTGGATGGGTTAATTAGAGAGAGAGAGAGGCTTGGAATACACTACATCGATGCTACAGCATGTTAAGTCGGAACCTCTCCGGCCGATGTAATTTAAGCAACAAGATCTACAATAAAGTAAACACTTTGCCCCAAACCAGTCGATTGAATCTAACCCTAATTGGTGATTAAACTTGCTAAACTACTATAATTTAATCAACAGACCTTTATTTCTAACTATAGAATAATAACTTGGACATTAAATTTGCTAAACCAGACATCCTTAGGTTGCACATCTAGCCAAACGCCAGCTAAAATGCTGAACCAACAGAATGGAAACATCTTCTCACGCCAGCAGCAAAATGCTCCAAACCATGGCACTAAGGCTCGTTTTATGGCTATTCTACTGTGTTGCGCAGTGCTTATTTCTTTAAGTTGCTGTGAAAACAAAAAAAAACTTATAGTCGTAATACTACAGTGGCGGATCTAGCATGGGAAACCTTTTTGGGAGCCATCAAACTGTTACTAGTATTAAGGTGTGATTAAACTTGCTAAACTACTGTAATTTAATCAACAGACCTTTATTTCTAACTATAGAATAATAACTTGGACATTAAACTTGCTAAACCAGACGTCCTTAGGTTGCACATCTAGCTAAACGCCAGCTAAAATGCTGAACCAACAGAATGGAAACATCTTCTCACGCCAGCAGCAAAATGCTCCAAACCATGGCACTAAGGCTTGTTTTATGGCTATTCTACTGTGTTGCGCAGTGCTTATTTCTTTAAGTTGCTGTGAAAACAAAAAAAACTTATAGTCGTAATACTACAGTGGCGGATCTAGCATGGGAAACCTTTTTGGGAGCCATCAAACTGTTACTAGTATTAAGGTTTAAGGCAGATTTCTACAACAGAAGCTAGGGTTAACGCTCCCATCAAACTGTTACTAGTATTAAGGTTTAAGGCAGATTTCTACAACAGAAGCTAGGGTTAACGCACAAATTCGAGAAAAATAAGTTCGTAGGTAGACACAGGGAGAGATGGGAAAGAGGATGCGCGTAACGGATGCTGCGGAAGCAGCAGGACCAGGACGAGCTCGCGCGTGATGGATGGGGATCGGCTGCAGGCGACGGCAGCAGGACCAGGACGAGCTCGCGCGTGATGGATGGGGATCGGCCGCAGGCGACGGCGGCGGAAGAGGATGTGCTCACCAGGATGGATGCGGCGGAAGCAGCAGGACGAACGACGAAGCCGCCCTACTCGCCTCGCTCGCAGTCGCGGGTTGGAATGGGGATCGGCGGAGGCGGGTGGGTAGGCAAGGGCAAACTCAAGAAGCATAACTCACGCACGACCACGAGACAGAGCCATCAAAACAGCGAGGGTAATTTTGTAATTTCGCCTACCACTCGATCCACCGGGATTGCTAGCACACACCCCATCCCCACCCTACCCAAACGGTGCAAATATGACGATTGTGTTCACTGTGTCACTGGACAGTGGGCCCGCGCGGATGGAGTGGGCCCGTGGATGGACTGTCGGGTGGGGCTTATCTGTCAGTTGGGGTTTTAGGATAACGTGGTGTTTTGGCTCAAGTGGAGGAATGGGTGAAGGGTGATGTGGACTTGGGAAGTTGGGAGCACGTGAATTGTGTGCACAAAACTAATGTTTGTTTATATTTACTAGCAAAACTAATTGGGAAGTTGGGAGTACGTTCAATGGTTTCAATTTATAACCTGATAAAGAAAGAATGTTAAATTAGATTCATGCCAAGTGGCACAAATGTCTTAGAAAATTTATAACCTGACAAAGAAAAAAAAGTTAAATTAGATTAATGCCAAGTGTCACCGTATGTCCTTTAGAAATTTTGTGGAATAAAAATTACTTATAAGAATATAAGTTGATAAAAAGATATTTTGTGTGACTATGGGTAGTTTGTGGTCTAGATTCTTCTTAAAGAAATTTACGTGAGTTTGGATGAGTAAAAATTATGTGAGCTTACATTTTTCGTTCTATAAGGGTGTTTGGATGAGATTCAGTAACCAAATTACATATGCTAAAAACGGAAATCAAAATTAACAACTTGAAAGTAGGTGGAGCTGGGCAGAGGCAGATCTAACCCTGTTTCGGTTGAACCCCCAAACTTTTTGAGGGATAAAGCAGAATACCTGATGAGGTGTGGGTAGGGAGGGATGCTCACCGGCGAGCGACGATGCGGTGGAAGCTAGAAGGAGGACGCCGGGCGCCACCTCTGCTCGCAGGATGGGGATCGGCGCAAGCGGCGGGTGAGGAGACGAAATTCGAGGCCGAGGCCGAGGCCGGATGGGATGGATTAGGATGCTCACCGGTGAGCGAATGCGGCGGGAGCAGGAGGAGGACGCCGGCGCCACCTCTGCTAGCAGGATGGAGATCGGCGCCAGCGGCAGGCGAGGAGACGGGAGTCGAGGGCGGCGGGCGAGGAGACGGGACGGATTGGGGAGGCGGAGGGCGTGCACGCGGTGTCGCCTGCCTATGTATGGGTCATATGCACAGGCCCATGAGGCTGGAGTTTTTTCATCTCCCAAAAAAGTTCATCTAAGGTCCCTTATCTTGTCGTTGAGTTCTAAACGACCCTGAACCCCTAATCTTGCAAAACGGATCACTTTTAATCCCAACAAGCTAGTATTGCTCTTCAGTTTTGTTGACGTGGTGGCTGAGTCAGTGTAGGGCCCACGTGGACCCCACAAGCCAACCAGCAATCTTCTTCCACCTCACTCCCCTCTACTCCCATCTCAACCCAAACCTCCAGGGCATTCGCCAATGGGTGGGGAGAAGGGTGTCGGTCGGTGGGGAAAAGCTCGACGGCGGAGGCCGCCAGCTGACATGGTTCCCAATGACCGGGAGCGCTCACGTCATGGACTTGCGCACGTGCGGGGTGTGGCGCGGGTCCCAACTACAACTGCAATGTCGTCTTCATCGGCACGCGTGAGGGCTGGGGCTTCCGCCTCATCACGCTGGCCAAGCTCCTATCCCGGGCTTCCACCTCGTCACGATGGCCAAGCTCCTATCCCCCAAGCTCATACTCGCCCCCATCGAGCGGCTCAAAAGCCGATGTGTTCAGGTGTCCCCGAGCTTCGCCTCTCCTCCGCAGAGGCGAACACGCGGCTCCGCCGCATCGTCTTCGAGGTCAACTCCATCTACTCCACGTTGCGGTCGCAACGTCCTCGATGCATGCGCCCTTTTCCCCAACGCTTGCCACCGCCAAGCTTCTTGTTCGCTGCCAGCCTTCTCCCCACCTATCGCCGGGTGTCGTCGTCGGGCTTCTACCTACCACCGCCACCCAACAACCACCACCCTTCTCCCTGCTGGTCACCGGCCACCACACACCTCTCCCGCGATTCAGCGTCTGGCGTCCTCTTCGCTTGCATGCACGGGCACTCATGCAGTCAGTGGTGCTCGCGAGTATGCTCAGGCATCGCAACGTACTCCATCTCCCAACTCTTGGAGATCCTCTTGCCAATCCCGACGGTGTGGCTGACGTGCGATCATGATGCGGACGTGGCGCAGATGCGCGGCGAGCTGACATGCAACGATGTAGTGGTGTAACCCGAGGGGACGACGTGTCGGGAGCCCTTCCTACTTCGCTTCTTCGCGCTCTTCGCCGTGTAGGTCCATGACACAGCCGTCAGTCGCCACTCTTCTCCCCACCTGTTGTTGGCTGCCCTGGAGGTTTGGGTTGAGACGGGAAGAAAAGGGAGATAGGTGGGAGAAGATTATCGGCTGGCATGTAGGACCCACATGGGTCCCACGCTGACTCAGCCACCAAGTCACCAAAACCGGGGAGCAATACTGCCTTGGGACCTAATGTGACCCGGTTTTGCAAGATTATGGATATGTTATATCTGGTATTTTAGTTCAGGGACAATTTCGAAACTCGAGGACAAGATAAGGGACCTCAAGTGAACCTTTTCCTTTCATCTTTCTCATTTCTCTTTTTTTTTTTAAAAAAAGCAAAGATGCTCGTGCGTTGCGATAGGAAATCCAAATTACATATGTTTTTTTTTTTCGTGTACGGTGGCAGAGAGTTAGATGATGGATATTTGGGGGCCTTTTTTCATGAACCTCGGTGGGTCTCAGGCACGTCGTGGATGGAACATATGATAGAGATGTGGGTTTCACGTAGAGATAATCAATAGTTGAATGTGTCATTACTTATTAGTGTGGTATAAAGATTTTATTTTTTGCTGCAAGGGGACTTATCACTATGAAAAATGATTTTCGCCTTTGGCTAAAACCTGTTGTTGTAGGCTGCTAGGTCTAAATAAATTTTTTTGCTATAACGGCACTTATCACTATAAAAAATAATTTTTAGTATCTTTCCATATGGGCAACACAAACCACATGCGAAAATAGGGTTTTCGCGCATGGGCACATATGGTAGCTATTTTTTAAGAAAATGAACTATTATATATGCAACTGGTGAATTCGTGAAACAAAAATAATAAGGCAAAATTTGCCACAGGACACGCAAAAAACATGTAATTGGTTAAGAGACACCGTTAAAACGTGACACGGGTGATAGACACTAAAAAAAACGTGTAATTGGCTATAGGACACCGGTCACATTATTTTATTATTTCTGGCTCAAAAGAGGTGAGAAATTTTTCTAAATGCCCAGATTGCCCCTTCTCTTTCCTTCTTTAAACACCAGTGGGTCCCACATGTCATAGACAGTGTATGTTTAATCTAATTTTTAATAGGTTTTTAACCACCTGGCCTCACGCGTCATGGACTAATTTGTACCTAATTAGTAGGGTGATTACTATTTGCTAATCATAAGTGGGGGCCCACATTGCTCTCCTATCCTTCTTCTTCCTCACACACGCGGCGGAGCGGAGGAATGGCGCGCGGGCAGCGCGACGCCCCGAGTGGGACGGTCGGTGTCGACGGGTTCCTCAGCGGCAGCGGCTTCGGCCTGATGCTACGGATGCACGGCCTCGCCTCCGACCTCGTCGTCGATGCCACCATGGTGAACGCCGAGGGGGAGGCTCCTCGACAGGGCCGCCATGGGGGAGGACCTCTTCTGGGCCATCCGAGGTGGCAGCGGCGGGAACTTCTCCGCGTCGTAGTGCAGAACCAGAACGCGCAGTTCGAGTCCCTGTACCTCGGTAGTCGGTACACGCCTTGGCCTCGTCGCCGCCATGGCCGACACCTTCCCGAGCTCGGCGTGACGGCGAGCGACTGCATCGAGATGATGTGGATCCAGTCCATGCTCTACTTCGCGTTCTACGGCACGGGGAAGCCATTGGAGATGCTCCTGGACAGGGGCACCAGCAAGCAGGGCAAGTACTTGAAGGCCAAGTCCGACTCCGTACGTCCAAGAACATGCCCAGCCAAGTCTGGGAGACCACCTGGAGCTGGCTCCTCAAGGACGGTGCCGGGCTGCTCATCCTCGACCCCTACGGCGGCGAGATGGTCCGCGTCGCGCCAGCGGTGACACCGTTCCCGCACCGGCAGGCGCTCTACAACATCCAGTACTATGGGTTCTGGTCGAATAGCGGGGCGGCGGCGGCGGAGAAGCACATGGGCTGGATGAGAGGGCTCTACGGTGAGATGGAGCCGTACGTGTCCAAGAACCCCAGGGGCGGCGCAGCAGCCATAGCTGCCGTCACAGGATCTCTCGCCGTCTGCCGCTCCTGGCGCGGGGGAATATGGCTCCAGGGGCAATCTTGTCATTTTGAAATCACCTCTTTTGACCCGGAAATAATAAAATAATGCGACCGGTGTCCTACGGCCAATTACACGTTTTTTTGTAGTGTCCATCAGCCGTGTCATGTTTTCACGGTGTCTCTCAGCCAATTACACGTTTTTTGCGTGTCCTGTAGCAAATTTTGCCAAATAATTAATAGCTAAAACTGGTTGAGTGAAAAAAATAATATGAAACGAAGGGAGTAAAGTATATTCTATGAACTGTTGGCGGTCACAAGATTTATATACACTTGAAGACAGATTCGTGAGACCCACCAGCAAAAAATCTCTATCAGCTCAAAAGACAACTGACCGCCATGAGTCTCGTTTTTGTGATAGGAGAGGCACATGCCACTGCTTGAGGCTACAGGCAGTGGGTGCGTGATGTTGTCGTGCTCGGATTGGAAACTGAATTTTTATATGTGATTGTTTCCGTTTCATGTGGGCGGAAGAGTTTGACGCTTGCTGGGGACATGGAAAGGGACCAACAATTCACATGTCGGATGAAAAATTGTGTGAGACACACTTTTCTACGATGCACAGTAAAAACACTATGAATGTTTTAAGTAGATAAAGATATACAACCATATACGTCGTATTTTGCAAGCAAATTTGGTAGGATTGATATATAGATACATCATAACCTACCTCTCAGTATTTTTCATATTTTTTTACCACCGTATACATATATTTCAAAGTAGTAAGCATGATTTAAACATCGTGGTTTTAAATTTCAAACAATAGTCATGAAAATTTTTAAAAATATTTTAGAGCTTTGATAATGGTGTTATGTCTGGCCCTGCAAAATATCAGCTTTAGAATATGACTCCTATAAAAAGAGACGAAGAAGATAAATGCTCGAGCAAACCAATTTTAGTAGTTCAAGGGGTACAATGAGGCAAAACATAGGTTAGTGGGTTAAGGGTGTGCTTTTTACTCCATCTTCCTAACTTATACTCACTTCTTTTTATACGCACGCTTTTCCGATCTGTGTATTTTATGTAAAAAAATATAAAGAAATTTTGCTTTAAAAAATCATATTAATTTGTTTTATGACCTAGTCTCAACGATTTATTATGGCGTGCCCCCACCTAAATCTCTGAACAAATCAATTTGCTGCTAGGAAACTCAGACCGTTTATTTGTTCAGAGGTCATAGTAGCACCTTGCAAGTTTCAGACATTAAACACATTTTTTTGTTTCAGTTTTGAGTTTAGATAAATATCTGTTAAACTTATATAGGTGGTGTTTAGCTGAAATCATTTGTGATCCAAGGTGAGAGTTATATTTGCCAGCAATACCAAAATATACATGATCCTAACTAATATATATGTACTGCATATACAAAATTAGGTGCAATAGATGCTACTTACAAATAAGGATCTTGTATTGATCATTTCAACGATCAAACTTCTATTTATCATCACTAATCAAAAGTAGGATTGTACTGCACTGATCTGAAAAAATATCCGTCGCATGAACATAAGGAGGTCAATAGTGCAGATGATGCGTCAATAGTGTAGATGATGCCATCTAAGATTAGTGAGTCCTTTTTGTTCAGAAATGAGGAAGGAATCAATAAGGGAGTACTGCACTGAACAGAAACAGAAACAAGATGAATTTCATGAACATAAACGGGAATATAATATTGACCAAATGTAAACCTCACTCTAATAACACAAACGGTTCCATTCATACAAAAGTTTTTATACTCACTGTTTGTATTCGAATTTAATATTGCAAGTTATCATTATGTCAGTCAATAACAAACATCCAAACTCATGTGCTAGATGGCTGGCAATACATAAGCATTTTTCTGGAAAATCTGAGTATATAATAAGCAATGTCAGAATTTTTCCCAGACTGTAAATTTCAGAAACATGCCCCCTAAGGCCCTAAAAAAAACCAGAAACACGGTTATCCAAGTATATGAAATTCATATACAATATATGCCAAAATCAGAAAAACATAATCCAATTGTAGAAGTTATATCATGCAGATAGTGCAATTCAGTTTATATTTCATTTATAATGGCTATGATCAAAGGATAATTCATCAGCTGAATGAAATACATAACTGAATAAAATTGTCACAAGAGAAAGGTTTTCAATACTCATCTAAATGAAATGAAACCAAATCAGCGAGAGAGATTAAAAAAGAAAATACCTATGACATCCTAAATGCAGCAACCAAATTCAGTTTGAATGTTTTCATCAGTAACTTCACAACTCGAGTACTACCATAATGAGATGGTTTTAGTTTTTCACAAAAAAAGGATTCCGAAAAAAAAGGGCGGGTAGATCATGAGATATTTGACCATATTTATTCAATAGTTGCCGTCAATTCACATATATACAGTCTAAATCTATGATCTTAAGAAAATAATATTGGTTTTGAATTAGTCCGTGAATTAGTTTCGATATCTTTAGACAACCTTGATGACGTGGACCACTTTCAGAAATATATAAATGTATGAATGATCCAAATATATGTTGTAGCTAAAGGGCAGTGGCGGCCACCAGATCATGTAATGGCATGTTTACATGTAACACATAAAAATTTAAGATGTTCAATCCCAATTCAGTAATTGTTGTATGTGCAGCACAACAGTGCAATTAATTTTAGAAAAAATTGGGGCTACTTGATGGATTACGCAGGGAGTGCAACAATTCCCTGTAACCAAAAGTATGAAGTGGACACAGTACAGTTCAAGAACAGGTTCTTCTCCACGAAAAAAATTTGGCAAGGTAAGGATACATAGGATGCAACAGCAAAGTTTGTTGTAGTCAATTTGTAAGGTTGTGGGTTGTAAGCTTGTTGTAGCACCACAAATGATATTTTAGTTGTTTAGAGATTAATTGCAATCCTTTTTATGTTTAGGCTTATCACCTAGAGTTGAAAAATCTGGGATTGCGAGAGGCATTGCAAGGGAGAACTTTTGAAAAGGAATTGTGAGTATAAAGAAGAGCTCACAACAGGTACAGAGTTCTTCCGTTGCATTAACATATGATTTTTTTTAAAAAAAATCATGCAAAAGGCTCCGGTTTTTGTTATATTTGTTCTATTCTATAGTTCAGACTATTTTGCGTCCACGTTTTAAGGATGGATTAATTTCCCAAGCACCTCAATCTGGCGTTGTACAACCCTTGACACAACATAAGCACCAGCTGTCTATTTTTTTTACAACACTGTATCAAGCGAACGAAGATCTGGTAATTGATCACGGTGTCAGTGTGTGCATGAATGCCCCTGTAGGTGAATTCTCTCAATATTATCAAGGCTGCACTATTTTTTTTATTTTTCAGAGTTGTTTCTCAGCTACTATACCGATTGATTGGAATATTTAGTATGCGCAGGTAGGTTATTGATATCTTTAGTGCCTATATTCTTTGGCTTCGGCAACTATAAGAAACTAATCAGGAAGGACAAGCAGCATATTCTGCATAGTCTTAACGAGATTATCCCGAGGTGGGCTTGCAACAGGATAGATGGGGCTGGTGCTATTTCTTCCCACTCACAGGATGTGTCTGTCCGTATGTCTAGCGGAGTCTTTTTGTTTATCTGCAGAAACTACGAAACAACCATTTTTGTTGGTCCTTACTTTGTTTCATCTGTATGAAATTTGACTTATGAAGCATAGCATATTGTGATATTGCCTGTGAATAAAATGTGCCCCGATAATAGTGTGTTTGAAAAAAAATCATAACTATAATATAATGTCATTAACCAAAGTCTGATTCAGAGAACAATACTACTATACATACTGCTGTCATCTTTTGGTTGAAGGATGAATTGTATCAAATATTATCGTAGCGTTAGCATTAATGGCTACTTACAAGAGCGGTGTGTTCCCCTCGTCATACGAGATTTTATTTCCTGAACAACAAGAGGAGGCATGCAAGATGGTGGAAATAGCACTGCACGCATATGCCAAGCAAAAAGATATGCCGGTATGGATCCACGAAAATAACATTGATGATACATTTTGGCTAGACATCCTCGAATTTCTGAATTTGTACTTTTATATCTGTATAAGTTTTAGTTTTGCCTAGGCTGGGTAGAGTTGGAATATTTGTTTGTGGATTGGAAGTTGGAAATGAATTTACCTATCTGGACTAATATCATTATGTTTCAGCCTGCCAAGTTAGAAATTATGAAAGTGAAAGAAAGGAGTCTTTTTGAAGAATGTGGGAAAGTATATGCACGCTTCAACTTTCTGGTGATCAATGATTCAGATGGCACTCGTACTTTGTTCTTTGCTGAGGTGGATTTTCTCAACTGCAAAGAGGAGAAGGACGTCTACCTGTGCTGTCCTTTGGAAGAGAATGACAATGGTAAATAAGATTTCTCTTTTTGTGAAAAATTGTAGTTTTCATTCATCTTGTTTAATTAAATATGTACTAATATTAACTTATTTTCTTTTTCTTTTTATATAAGGTTATTGTTTTGGGTGCCGAGTGCAGCATATAAAACTTAGGCATCCTACTTCTGCTGACTATTTGGGTGGCCACAAGGATATCTGTTCTGAATATATAGATGTAGAATATTGTTTTGATGACTATTGACTAATATTAATGTACCTACTTATAACAGATTAGTTTCAGAATCACCCGCAAGTAGAAAGGTTGTGTTGCTGAACGTTTTCTCGGATGGGCTTCAGCAAAGCGGCATGTAATTTATGTTTTGTGTAGGTTCTACTCTGGAGCGGTGCTACAATATTGTGATGTACACTGTATGCTTTTGTATAACAATTAATAACTCATTAATTAACTTATAGTACTATAAATCATAGGTCGATTTCTAATAGTTGCCGCGAGTACCAGAGCGTCCAGGTGTGGACGCCGAATGTCCAGACCTGGACGTTATATTCAACGATGTACAATATAGCATCTGGTTCCATACGAAGAAAAGCAAACAGCGTAGTTAAAAAAAAAAGCTATTGCGGTAAATTATGTTGGTTGTTAATAAGTTTTTAATTTTTTAGAAATAAAATTATTATGGGACGGAAGTAGTATAGAACGTTCCCACGAGACGCATTCTCTACGTCACGTCTGACTATAAATCCTGGTTTATACTAAGACCATATTTATTTCAGCTTAGAATTATTATAATTGAAACAAACAAATAGATTATAATTATAATCTATAAGTCATATTACTATAATCTGGTAATATCCTCTAACGTGTTTTTTTTTATATTATTAGATAGCTAAAGCCCCACTACCCTTAAAAGTTTTATGCAAATTACCCAACATTGTCATCTAACCCAACAGATCGGCCACAACGCATTTGCTTTCTCTCTTCCTAGTCGTGCACGAATTCAGCGTCTCCCCCGGCCGCGCGTGCATCCGCTTCCTACAATTTCTTAGTTTAATATGAAAAATAGGGCATAGGAACATCTGACTCTGTGGGAGCCCAAAAAAAGCAGTTAATTTAGATTATCTAGGATATATATTGTAATCAACATAGCAAAATAGTTTTATAATTGTCGATATTTCAGTCAGGAAAGCCTTCCACGTTTGATTTCTCATGCAAAAGGCATAAAAGCTGGATGCATGGTGTCGTTCCTTAGCAAAACTGCTTCGCGCTAATGCACTGCCGTCTATACATATACAGCAGGATGTCACACCAACAAAACTACAAAACTGAAGGATACACATGATCATAATCATGTCCATCTTTTGATGTTGATGAACATTTTATTACTTCCTAACTCAGTTGCACAGTCCAGACTAGCCAATCTTCTGCCTGGCCCATCTGCAGGCTTGTTAATGAAGTATATAGCTGCTGAGACACGACACCAACTCCTTTGTTGCCAGCATATTCGACCCTGCAATGAAAAATCCATTGGACAGTATGATGGAACTTGGAAGAACAAGCTCTCTCTGACTTTGGAAATTTTACCAAGACAAGTCCATCTTAGTAGGCGATCCAACAAAAGAGGTTAGCCACGACTTACTAGCCACTAGTGAATAATATACACCTTTCAATTGTTTTTATATGGCTTTGATGGTTCCCTTATTCAAGGAACATGGAGTGAAGTATTGGCTAGGTTTCGGCCCATTAGATAGTTCTTAATTGGTGATATATTTGAGGAACAATACATAATATGGGTGTTAAGAAAGAAAACAATTTTGACTTTTGACTACACATACAGCAAACAGCTGAAATTTCAAGGAAAGCAATGTTCTAAAAGTCGGCACTGGGTGCCGCCTAGGAGCCTGGTAGCCACCACGATTAGGAATTAGATGGTGCATTAGGCTGTTGAACTTGCTTGGGTGGTGTTTTGTTGCTATTTTAGTGTTATATAATCTAATTTTCATGTAATATGCTTGCTAATTTCTTGGAACCATGCAAGGAAGGATAAGAGTATCACCTTTTCCCTTGATAGGTAATACTACCCACAGGAGACACTACGACAGCAGTTCCTGTGCAGAAAACCTCATCAGCTTCAAGCAGCTCATCTACTGACACAAGTCGCTCCTCGACCTTCAAGAAACCAAATACATTAATAGAAGATTTCCCAAAAAACTGAGAATAGATGTAACAATTTTCAGTAACAGATTGAGAACAGTGTTTTGCTGCTTCTAATTGGATCAACATCGCTAGGAAAAATAGGTTCCATCTTCTTCTATGTAGCCGTAGCTCATAAGAACCTAATCATGAATCTTGGTAGATTGAAAGATAGATAACCCTCACAACGAACATGAAGGATGATATGGACAAATAGAAACATGGACTTGGATACCAAGCAAATACGAAAGGATCAATGTTGAATACCTAATGCTGTTGTCAAAGCTATCAAATCACAGGCTACTAATTTGAGCTACACTGATAGTAAAACATCTTGCTTGTTAGTTCATGGGATTGATGATTAATTTACCTGGAAACCCTTGCTCAGAGCAACATCAATGATACTTTTCCTTGTGATGCCTGGCAATATTGTTCCTTTTACTGCTGGAGTTGAAATGACATTGCCCTGGTGCAAAAGCCAAGAAAAATAATAAAGAGATCTCAGTTAAAGGCAGCATGTATAAGATATTCCTTCAATTTGCTGACTATCCTTACGCAAAAATAAGAAATAAATGTTTTGTCTGCAATGGAAATACAAAGTCCACTGTGAACTAAAACAAATACAACAATAGTTTGTCATTCAGGATATGACACAGACAACCTGGCTGAACCTAGTAGGTATAGAACAACCAATTGTTAGTACGGTATTATCCTATTCCTATAGAATAGTCATGGCACCGTATTGCTAGCGAACCAATATCTATGACCATGTGTTGTGGATATGCCTGTTGTTTTCATTTAGGTAACAATTCACAGAGGCTTATGCATGGTAGAGGGTAACAGTTTTGAGTTTGAATGTTATGAAATTAGATCCCTTGACACATTATCTCCATCATTTATAGGAATATACTAACCCACAGGGTATGCATTTACTAATGGATGTTGCTAGCAACTAACACATAAAACACATCTATATTTTTTGGATACTATCATGCTATCTGTTACAGATTTTCAAAAGTTTTGAGCCAGAAGCCTGTTCAATCCAAGAGTATCAAATATCTACTTCAAAGAGCGTATGACTCATTTCATTTATTTGAAACTTCTTTAATCTATACAGATATAAAAAGGACATCATCTGTCAGTAAAGAAAACAAAGCTGATCGTTAATATAGTAGGTTACAAATCTTAGCATTGGTTAATTTACTGTGGTAGCTTTCAGAACTAAAAAGGCATTAGCTGGACCTACAGGAGAAAGTGCTCAAATCAAACTAACAAGTATTATTGACAGCATAAACACACCTTGACAACAAAAATATTACATGAAGAAACTTCTTCAAGATACTTTTTGTGAACAGCATCCAAGTAGAGAACATCAGAATAGCCCTTTTCTTTTGCAATCTTCTGTGCCATCAAGACCTATGCAAAGACAGTATATGAATTAAAGCCAGTGAAAATAATAACAGAATTCGACATACAAGATAGCAGAAAATAATAATGATAAGATAGCAAGGAGATATAAGTCGTCATATAAAATAGCATTCCATTTGAAATATATCTGATGGTTCAATTATTTTTCATTTCACAGCTTCATTCATAATGGCTGTATGTTCTTAAGATAATTGCACTGACAAAGTACTCCTTTCAATCACATGTTCACATTAATAGAATGACTGTTCTGTAGTTTAAGATTTGCAGATTTGAACTAAAAATATTACATCAAAAACATCAGAAATAGAAATATCAGGTAGCGAAGTTGCAGAAATAGCCATGACAATAACTTCCGCATCAAAGCTGTAAGTAATGGGTTTCAAACTTGACTGTAGAATTACCGAGGCATAATTTCCTATGGTCTTCACACTTCCAGTTCCACCAGGGGTTGCACGATGAAACTTATCTTCAACTATCAAATTTATTGGAGCTAAACCTTCCTGAAGATATGAGTGAACAAATTAAATTAAAAAAAAAAATCAATGATACACGAGCTGTTTAGAAATTCTACATTCAACCATCAGTTATCTCAACCAACAAAAGTGGAAAAAAAATCATAAATTCATAGGTCAAGTTGCTGCAAGATATATATTCAGAAACACAGTGTCAAGTAGAATGCAGATTATAACAGTATCTACCATAGCTTTTCTTTATTTATGGCAACAACGCTGCGGCTAATAGAGGGAGCAGAATTAAAGAAAAAACACAAACCTTAAAGTAGTTCCCCACAGGCGAGACAAATATAATGAACGTATACTCAGGAGCAGGTGCAAGACCAAGAACAGCACCACTACCCATGAGTAGCGGTCTAATATACAAAGAACCTTTACCGGTAGGAGGCACCTGGAATTAAAAATTATTTAACAAATGATTAAATGAAGAGTATGAACAGCGGCCTAGCCCACTATGAAATGATTTATTTTTTACAGTAAACCCACCCATCTCTTGTTTGCTAAAACAGTTTGCTTTACTGCATCCACAAACTGCTCAACACTAGGCGCAGGCATGCACATTCTTTCTGCACCTGTTCTCATTCTCAGTGCATTTTCCTCCGGGCGAAATAATAAGATAGAGTCATCTGTTGTTCTATATGCTTTTAGACCTTCAAATAATCCCTACAAATAATCATAATCTTTTAGGACAAAAAGTATTTAAAAATGCTCAATTTTCCTTATCTTCAGTTACCACAATGTACTCAGGATATATGAAGCAAGGAGATCTACCTCCAATACAAACCTGTCCGTAATTAAGGACTCCAGAAGATGGGTTCAGCGCTATAGGTCCAAATGGAATCATTTCACCCTCAGAAAAATTCCCGTCCTGTCCGCATTTTGTGATATACATGTAGTCGGTCTGCACGATTCCAAAACCAAGGTTCTCCCAATCTAAATCAGCTACCTCAGATGCCTTCCTGAAAATATGCAAGAGTTGCCATCAGAATTATTCCTGAAAGAAATGACCAACACATCGTCGAATTTGAAAAGCAGGTCCCCCTGCCTGGAGGGGGAGGGTTCAACGAATCATGCAGTTTATGGTAAGAATCACACACGTGTAGTCACTTGCTAGAGAAGCCTCGCATCTTCTCACGCCTCGAGCCTTTAGTGGAAGCGACGATATCGAATAAAGTCGATTCTGAATCTGCACCAGCGAGAAAACACCAGTATCAAATATAGTATTTTAATACCAAACGAACATAAAAAAAACAGCATGGACTTCATCAATTTAATCTCCACAAATACTTCTCAAACCCCACCTACAACAACATAATCCAAATCCTAAATCTCCAGTTCGACCGTACATGCCAATCTAGCCACCATGATCCACGAAATCTACAGCACAAACGCATCCAGGAGACCGTGCAAACCAAAATACCGGCCTAGTCACGCGCGTACCTGAATAGAGGGCGGCGACGGCGGCGATGAGAGGGGCAACCAGCTACGCCGGGCGCCGGAGAGCGGGGCGGCCGCGAGGAGCGCGCCACGCGTTGCTGCACCGTACTCCATTTGCTGCTCTCCCGTGAGCTCCCCCGCTCTCTCGCCGGGGTCTAGGGTTTCTGCGGCTACTGCGACGGCGGCGGCGCGGGAGAGGCAGCGGAGACGCAGCGGAGACGGAGACGACGATGGCCAAATCGGACGGGAATGGCACGGGGGCCAAATGGGGAAGCGGCTTTACTCACAGAACCTTCTAGCCATTGTAGCCGATGTGAGACCGACTGGTGGGGCCAACGCTGTGTGGGCCTCAAATGGCAGTGGCTGGGGTAAATCATCCATTTCAATCATTGACACTTAATAAATAATACGTGAAAATATTTAGAAATACATCAACATCATTGTTTATTAATAATATTTTTCCTTTAATAATTTTACCTTACATTTTATTATGTTCTCACTTATATATAAATCTATATTTTTCTTTAGTTTTATATATGAATCGTACTTAAAATTTATAAAAATATTGAATTCATATTGTTTCTAACATTCTATTGTTATTAGATTGTACTTGGCATATATCATTTTATTTTTTATTCTAAACTATAGTTGATTTGAATTTATTAATTACCTAATTTAAATATCTATATTATTAGTTTAAATTATTTTTAAAATTAAAAATATTAAAATATTATAGATATATCACAATGTTTTAGGGACGGGAAGACAAAGTACGTTCAATGGTTTCAATTTATAACCTGATAAAGAAAGAATGTTAAATTAGATTCATGCCAAGTGGCACAAATGTCTTAGAAAATTTATAACCTGACAAAGAAAAAAAAGTTAAATTAGATTAATGCCAAGTGTCACAGTATGTCCTTTAGAAATTTTGTGGAATAAAAATTACTTATAAGAATATAAGTTGATAAAAAGATATTTTGTGTGACTATGGGTAGTTTGTGGTCTAGATTCTTCTTAAAGAAATTTACGTGAGTTTGGATGAGTACAAATTATGTGAGCTTACATTTTTCGTTCTATAAGGGTGTTTGGATGAGATTCAGTAACCAAATTACATATGCTAAAAACGGAAATCAAAATTAACAACTTGAAAGTAGGTGGAGCTGGGCAGAGGCAGATCTAACCCTGTTTCGGTTGAACCCCCAAACTTTTTGAGGGATAAAGCAGAATACCTGATGAGGTGTGGGTAGGGAGGGATGCTCACCGGCGAGCGACGATGCGGTGGAAGCTAGAAGGAGGACGCCGGGCGCCACCTCTGCTCGCAGGATGGGGATCGGCGCAAGCGGCGGGTGAGGAGACGAAATTCGAGGCCGAGGCCGAGGCCGGATGGGATGGATTAGGATGCTCACCGGTGAGCGAATGCGGCGGGAGCAGGAGGAGGACGCCGGCGCCACCTCTGCTAGCAGGATGGAGATCGGCGCCAGCGGCAGGCGAGGAGACGGGAGTCGAGGGCGGCGGGCGAGGAGACGGGACGGATTGGGGAGGCGGAGGGCGTGCACGCGGTGTCGCCTGCCTATGTATGGGTCATATGCACAGGCCCATGAGGCTGGAGTTTTTTCATCTCCCAAAAAAGTTCATCTAAGGTCCCTTATCTTGTCGTTGAGTTCTAAACGACCCTGAACCCCTAATCTTGCAAAACGGATCACTTTTAATCCCAACAAGCTAGTATTGCTCTTCAGTTTTGTTGACGTGGTGGCTGAGTCAGTGTAGGGCCCACGTGGACCCCACAAGCCAACCAGCAATCTTCTTCCACCTCACTCCCCTCTACTCCCATCTCAACCCAAACCTCCAGGGCATTCGCCAATGGGTGGGGAGAAGGGTGTCGGTCGGTGGGGAAAAGCTCGACGGCGGAGGCCGCCAGCTGACATGGTTCCCAATGACCGGGAGCGCTCACGTCATGGACTTGCGCACGTGCGGGGTGTGGCGCGGGTCCCAACTACAACTGCAATGTCGTCTTCATCGGCACGCGTGAGGGCTGGGGCTTCCGCCTCATCACGCTGGCCAAGCTCCTATCCCGGGCTTCCACCTCGTCACGATGGCCAAGCTCCTATCCCCCAAGCTCATACTCGCCCCCATCGAGCGGCTCAAAAGCCGATGTGTTCAGGTGTCCCCGAGCTTCGCCTCTCCTCCGCAGAGGCGAACACGCGGCTCCGCCGCATCGTCTTCGAGGTCAACTCCATCTACTCCACGTTGCGGTCGCAACGTCCTCGATGCATGCGCCCTTTTCCCCAACGCTTGCCACCGCCAAGCTTCTTGTTCGCTGCCAGCCTTCTCCCCACCTATCGCCGGGTGTCGTCGTCGGGCTTCTACCTACCACCGCCACCCAACAACCACCACCCTTCTCCCTGCTGGTCACCGGCCACCACACACCTCTCCCGCGATTCAGCGTCTGGCGTCCTCTTCGCTTGCATGCACGGGCACTCATGCAGTCAGTGGTGCTCGCGAGTATGCTCAGGCATCGCAACGTACTCCATCTCCCAACTCTTGGAGATCCTCTTGCCAATCCCGACGGTGTGGCTGACGTGCGATCATGATGCGGACGTGGCGCAGATGCGCGGCGAGCTGACATGCAACGATGTAGTGGTGTAACCCGAGGGGACGACGTGTCGGGAGCCCTTCCTACTTCGCTTCTTCGCGCTCTTCGCCGTGTAGGTCCATGACACAGCCGTCAGTCGCCACTCTTCTCCCCACCTGTTGTTGGCTGCCCTGGAGGTTTGGGTTGAGACGGGAAGAAAAGGGAGATAGGTGGGAGAAGATTATCGGCTGGCATGTAGGACCCACATGGGTCCCACGCTGACTCAGCCACCAAGTCACCAAAACCGGGGAGCAATACTGCCTTGGGACCTAATGTGACCCGGTTTTGCAAGATTATGGATATGTTATATCTGGTATTTTAGTTCAGGGACAATTTCGAAACTCGAGGACAAGATAAGGGACCTCAAGTGAACCTTTTCCTTTCATCTTTCTCATTTCTCTTTTTTTTTAAAAAAAAAGCAAAGATGCTCGTGCGTTGCGATAGGAAATCCAAATTACATATGTTATTTTTTTTCGTGTACGGTGGCAGAGAGTTAGATGATGGATATTTGGGGGCCTTTTTTCATGAACCTCGGTGGGTCTCAGGCACGTCGTGGATGGAACATATGATAGAGATGTGGGTTTCACGTAGAGATAATCAATAGTTGAATGTGTCATTACTTATTAGTGTGGTATAAAGATTTTATTTTTTGCTGCAAGGGGACTTATCACTATGAAAAATGATTTTCGCCTTTGGCTAAAACCTGTTGTTGTAGGCTGCTAGGTCTAAATAAATTTTTTTGCTATAACGGCACTTATCACTATAAAAAATAATTTTTAGTATCTTTCCATATGGGCAACACAAACCACATGCGAAAATAGGGTTTTCGCGCATGGGCACATATGGTAGCTATTTTTTAAGAAAATGAACTATTATATATGCAACTGGTGAATTCGTGAAACAAAAATAATAAGGCAAAATTTGCCACAGGACACGCAAAAAACATGTAATTGGTTAAGAGACACCGTTAAAACGTGACACGGGTGATAGACACTAAAAAAAACGTGTAATTGGCTATAGGACACCGGTCACATTATTTTATTATTTCTGGCTCAAAAGAGGTGAGAAATTTTTCTAAATGCCCAGATTGCCCCTTCTCTTTCCTTCTTTAAACACCAGTGGGTCCCACATGTCATAGACAGTGTATGTTTAATCTAATTTTTAATAGGTTTTTAACCACCTGGCCTCACGCGTCATGGACTAATTTGTACCTAATTAGTAGGGTGATTACTATTTGCTAATCATAAGTGGGGGCCCACATTGCTCTCCTATCCTTCTTCTTCCTCACACACGCGGCGGAGCGGAGGAATGGCGCGCGGGCAGCGCGACGCCCCGAGTGGGACGGTCGGTGTCGACGGGTTCCTCAGCGGCAGCGGCTTCGGCCTGATGCTGCGGATGCACGGCCTCGCCTCCGACCTCGTCGTCGATGCCACCATGGTGAACGCCGAGGGGGAGGCTCCTCGACAGGGCCGCCATGGGGGAGGACCTCTTCTGGGCCATCCGAGGTGGCAGCGGCGGGAACTTCTCCGCGTCGTAGTGCAGAACCAGAACGCGCAGTTCGAGTCCCTGTACCTCGGTAGTCGGTACACGCCTTGGCCTCGTCGCCGCCATGGCCGACACCTTCCCGAGCTCGGCGTGACGGCGAGCGACTGCATCGAGATGATGTGGATCCAGTCCATGCTCTACTTCGCGTTCTACGGCACGGGGAAGCCATTGGAGATGCTCCTGGACAGAGGCACCAGCAAGCAGGGCAAGTACTTGAAGGCCAAGTCCGACTCCGTACGTCCAAGAACATGCCCAGCCAAGTCTGGGAGACCACCTGGAGCTGGCTCCTCAAGGACGGTGCCGGGCTGCTCATCCTCGACCCCTACGGCGGCGAGATGGTCCGCGTCGCGCCAGCGGTGACACCGTTCCCGCACCGGCAGGCGCTCTACAACATCCAGTACTATGGGTTCTGGTCGAATAGCGGGGCGGCGGCGGCGGAGAAGCACATGGGCTGGATGAGAGGGCTCTACGGTGAGATGGAGCCGTACGTGTCCAAGAACCCCAGGGGCGGCGCAGCAGCCATAGCTGCCGTCACAGGATCTCTCGCCGTCTGCCGCTCCTGGCGCGGGGGAATATGGCTCCAGGGGCAATCTTGTCATTTTGAAATCACCTCTTTTGACCCGGAAATAATAAAATAATGCGACCGGTGTCCTACGGCCAATTACACGTTTTTTTGTAGTGTCCATCAGCCGTGTCATGTTTTCACGGTGTCTCTCAGCCAATTACACGTTTTTTGCGTGTCCTGTAGCAAATTTTGCCAAATAATTAATAGCTAAAACTGGTTGAGTGAAAAAAATAATATGAAACGAAGGGAGTAAAGTATATTCTATGAACTGTTGGCGGTCACAAGATTTATATACACTTGAAGACAGATTCGTGAGACCCACCAGCAAAAAATCTCTATCAGCTCAAAAGACAACTGACCGCCATGAGTCTCGTTTTTGTGATAGGAGAGGCACATGCCACTGCTTGAGGCTACAGGCAGTGGGTGCGTGATGTTGTCGTGCTCGGATTGGAAACTGAATTTTTATATGTGATTGTTTCCGTTTCATGTGGGCGGAAGAGTTTGACGCTTGCTGGGGACATGGAAAGGGACCAACAATTCACATGTCGGATGAAAAATTGTGTGAGACACACTTTTCTACGATGCACAGTAAAAACACTATGAATGTTTTAAGTAGATAAAGATATACAACCATATACGTCGTATTTTGCAAGCAAATTTGGTAGGATTGATATATAGATACATCATAACCTACCTCTCAGTATTTTTCATATTTTTTTACCACCGTATACATATATTTCAAAGTAGTAAGCATGATTTAAACATCGTGGTTTTAAATTTCAAACAATAGTCATGAAAATTTTTAAAAATATTTTAGAGCTTTGATAATGGTGTTATGTCTGGCCCTGCAAAATATCAGCTTTAGAATATGACTCCTATAAAAAGAGACGAAGAAGATAAATGCTCGAGCAAACCAATTTTAGTAGTTCAAGGGGTACAATGAGGCAAAACATAGGTTAGTGGGTTAAGGGTGTGCTTTTTACTCCATCTTCCTAACTTATACTCACTTCTTTTTATACGCACGCTTTTCCGATCTGTGTATTTTATGTAAAAAAATATAAAGAAATTTTGCTTTAAAAAATCATATTAATTTGTTTTATGACCTAGTCTCAACGATTTATTATGGCGTGCCCCCACCTAAATCTCTGAACAAATCAATTTGCTGCTAGGAAACTCAGACCGTTTATTTGTTCAGAGGTCATAGTAGCACCTTGCAAGTTTCAGACATTAAACACATTTTTTTGTTTCAGTTTTGAGTTTAGATAAATATCTGTTAAACTTATATAGGTGGTGTTTAGCTGAAATCATTTGTGATCCAAGGTGAGAGTTATATTTGCCAGCAATACCAAAATATACATGATCCTAACTAATATATATGTACTGCATATACAAAATTAGGTGCAATAGATGCTACTTACAAATAAGGATCTTGTATTGATCATTTCAACGATCAAACTTCTATTTATCATCACTAATCAAAAGTAGGATTGTACTGCACTGATCTGAAAAAATATCCGTCGCATGAACATAAGGAGGTCAATAGTGCAGATGATGCGTCAATAGTGTAGATGATGCCATCTAAGATTAGTGAGGCCTTTTTGTTCAGAAATGAGGAAGGAATCAATAAGGGAGTACTGCACTGAACAGAAACAAGATGAATTTCATGAACATAAACGGGAATATAGTATTGACCAAATGTAAACCTCACTCTAATAACACAAACGGTTCCATTCATACAAAAGTTTTTATACTCACTGTTTGTATTCGAATTTAATATTGCAAGTTATCATTATGTCAGTCAATAACAAGCATCCAAACTCATGTG